ATGCAAAAAAGAATACCTGGATATTGACATACGCGAAGGTTAAACGAAACCTAACCTAAAAGTTTCGAATTTCTTCGCTTCTTCCGTCTCTCACTTATTTCTGCCACCACACATAACACGTAATTATCCCTTGAATAATAGGAATTCGATTATTAATAAAGAAAAGAATAAATCGAATTTTCACTAGAGCGTGATTTCACCAGGGCAAATAGGATTAATAAAATAACAAATTTTAATTCTGAATGCAAAAAAGAATACCAGGATATTGACATACGCGAAGGTTAAACGAAACCTAACCTAAAAGTTTCGAATCTCTTTGCTTCTTACGTCTCTCACTTATTTCTACCACCACACATAACACGTAATTATCCCTTGAATAACAGGAATTCGATTATTAATAAAGAAAAGAATAAGTCGATTTTTCACTAGAGCTTGATTTTACCAGGGCGAATAGGATTAATAAAATAACAAATTTTAATTCTGAATGCAAAAAAGAATACCAGGATATTGACATACGCGAAGGTTAAACGAAACCTAACCTAAAAGTTTCGAATCTCTTTGCTTCTTACGTCTCTCACTTATTTCTACCACCACACATAACACGTAATTATCCCTTGAATAACAGGAATTCGATTATTAATAAAGAAAAGAATAAGTCGATTTTTCACTAGAGCTTGATTTTACCAGGGCGAATAGGATTAATAAAGTCACGCGACAGGTTACCGACGGACACGCGGTACACAAGGCACATGTGCGATGTGATTAAACGAAATTAGCTGGACCATCGACGCGACCGAGGTTTAATCACTCGATTTTCACAAGGGGCAAGTATCCGCAGCGAGCGGTCGCATACACGAAATTCTGCTTTCAGAAATTATGCATTGACGTCGTTGCCGATTGCGTGTTACACAAAGGGGCATAAATCGTGCATAGAATTCGCTGCCGAAAGGGACACGGAACGAATCGCACTGCCCTCTCTGTTTTAATCGCGAATACGTCGAAATTGCACCGCTTGTAACGAAGGCATTCAGCGATCCCGGTGAACGTACTAATTAAATTTGCGATTGCGTAAGCCGACCAATTATCGACAGTTCGCCACGGTGTTAAAATACTTGTATGCAAACGCGTTGACACGGTTTACACACGTTCCGCGTGTGACATACGCACAGCCAGATTTTTATCGGCGCGCCACGAACACGATTCCGTGCAAACACCAAATTTTCCCGTGTTTTTATTAACGTCAAACCGTCCGAAAAGTAGAGAAACGAGGAGGACAGAAAATAATCACTGTTCTTCTCGCTTGGAAATTAAATATTCATTTAACAAGTTAAACTTTCTAACCAAAAGCTTCCTAACCTAACTTTTATAACCACATATTAGGAAGATACTTTTTATATAGTGATAATTGAATAATTACATAGATTTGTGCTAATGTTTTCTTTTATCATTTTCAAAATCTGTCAAAATTATTTCGTATAGTACATGCAATTTATGCACCTTTATAACCTCTAAAATATGATTTGAAGAGGCAAGTGACTGGCGTATGCTCTCTTTTTACGTAGGAAATGCTTGGAAAATTTTGAGGTTAACTTTGTTAATTTATATGAAATACTATATTCTTTTATAGTAAAATATCGAGGTACATTGAATTCTGAATAAAAAAAATATTGACTTTTATTAATACCGAACCTAATAATTAACAAATAATTTTTCTGATCAAAAACTTCCTAACCTAACTTTTATAACCACGCAATAAGAAGATATTTTTTATATAGTGATAATTGAATAATGAAATAAATTTGTACTACTGTTTTCTTTTATCATTTTCAAAATCTGTCAAAATTATTTTATTATACATTTTGTGCAATTTATGCACCTTTATAACCTCTAAAATATGTGTCGCACAGAAAATTGTTTTATACATACGTTGCATGATTTGAAGAGGCATGTGGTTGGTGTATGTACTCTTTTTACGTAGGAAGCATTTCAAAAATTTTGAGGTTAACTTTGTTAATTTATATGAAATACTATATTCTTTATACAAAAATATTTTCTGAATGAAAAATTACTGACTTTTATTGATACTAAACCTAATAGTTATCAAATAATTTTATTTTTACGAAAAATATTATTTGTTTTTATTTAGTATAGATTTCTAGAGGGCAGCAGCTTACTTTATAATATTTATCAACATCCTAACGTTTATATTTATAAAAATTTTTTAAAACGTACTTTCTTTTGTATGGAACATTTGGTACACATACTTTGAAAATTATAGAGATGTACAAGTTGTATAGGTCGCCCTATATAAGGTGTAAATGTGACAGTAACACTTGAATATTATAATCAATTGTTTTCCAACACATATATTTTTGATTTATTATTTAACTTTCATATTTACTTCATAATTAATCTATCTCTATTATCTTTAATTAAATAAACACAAAAAGGAAAAATGAAATCCGTGTCACATATACATACGTGAAATTAAATCTATGTCTTTTACTATAAATTCCTTTCATTTCTAAAAAACTGGGAATTTTAAATATCTAGTTGTTTCAAGATTTTTGGTTTTGCAATTACTAAAAATATGCAATTATTTTTGACAAAAGTAATATCGACATTTATTAAAACAGGAACCTAATTATATTCTACTTCTTCCCATTGTCTCATTGTACTTATCATTACCTACATATACTATGTTCAGACATACATTATGGATCGGTAGTTCCAATTGCAAAAGAGCGGGAATTTTAAATATTTAACTTTTGAGATTTTCGTTTTTGCAATTAATAAAAATATTGAATTATTTTTGACAAAATTAATATCGACATTTATTAAAACAGGAACCTAATTATACAGATGTATCTATTTCTTTCCATTATCCTACTGTAATCATCATAACCTATGTATACTATGTTCATACACACATTATACATCAGTAGTTCCAATTGTAAAAGAGCGGGAATTTTAAATATCTAGTTTGTTGAGATTTTCATTTTTGCAATTAATAAAAATATGCTATTATTTTATGAAATTAATATCGATATTTATTAAAACAGGAACCTAATTATACAGATGTATCTATTTCTTTCCATTATCCTACTGTAATCATCATAACCTATGTATACTATGTTCATACACACATTATACATCAGTAGTTCCGCAGATAAATTGTAGTCGTTTTCGATCTCTGGAAATATACGTCAGCCGTTTGTAATCACAGTAAATTGATTCTGTCACTCACCTTTCAAACAAATCTTGTTTCTCTTGAATACTAAAATAGTGTCGTTGTATTTGGTGCCGGGCGGGGCGGTGACGTTTAACCTCAAAGCCAAAGGAATTTGGGCGCTGACGAGGCCCGAGCACGGTAGCCTAATCCTGAAGACTTGCAAGGTCATTGGTACCTCTCCCTTGGCCGACACGTTCACGCTGGGTCGAAATAGTGCCACCACTCCAGAAACACCGCTCGAAACACCAACTACGTCGTAATCCAACTCCATTGAGTACGGCAACTGTAAGTAAACACACAAATGAAACAAATCTTCGCGAATGGAATGTCTTGCCAGTTCGTGGCGCTGCAGTCGCGGTTCGTGTGAGAAATAATTAAGTGACGCGAAAAGGCGATGAAATTGAATCGAGTTGCGCGCAGTTTTATTGTTTGCCAGGAATGAAACGTCTCTGAAGGAAAATGGAACATAATACTGGCGGATAAATAGGAAGCACAACAGCTTGTAAAGGTAAAATCTCGAATGGAAGGTATTCCCGTCTTTTCTCATTCCTATTGTGTACAATATTTACGTGGAGTGGCTGATAACGAATATCTAATAAAAATACCTTGAAAATCATAAGCCACCGGGTATAGCAACACGGAAACTTTAAAGCACTGTGCGATTACAGACATCCGATAGCTCACACATAACCTCAAAATTCTCTTATATCATATGGCTATTCGTAGTTTCTATAGCTTTGGGAATTATTTTCGTAGGATAATAAAAGGAAAGAATTAATATTTTATTATTGTACATATTGTTTTGTACAATTGAATATTAAATTTTATTATTTTATTATTGTGTAAATATTGTTTTGTACAATTGAATATTAAATTATTTTGCGATTTTTTATTTACTTCTCTTTTAGTTTGATTGGTAAGCTGTCGTAAAGAAGATTTTATCGATGTAATATGTCGATTACAGACATGCGATAGTTCGTACACAACCTCAAAATTCTCTTATATCACATGGCTATTCGTAGCTTCTATAGCTTTGGGAATTATTTTCGTAGGATAATAAAACGAAAGAATCGATATTTTATTATTGTATATATTGTTCTGTACAATTGAATAATAAATTTTATTATTTTATTTTATTTTATTTTATTATTGTGTATGTATTGTTTTGTACAATTGAATATTAAATTATTTTGAGATTTTTTATTTTCTCCTTTTTTAGTTTGTTTGGTAAACTGTCGTAAAGAAGGTCTTATCAATTTTCACTGAGGAATATCTATCTCTGTTTTACCTGCACATTAATCAAATACATGTTCACGTGCGTAATAAAAATATCTCGGTAAAAATGCATACACAGCAAGAAACCCCTTTCAGCTTGCATATCATTACACGCATGCGATATTTCACACTAGATCCATTCCTATTTTATCATCATTTGTTGCATGCATCTTGTTTCATGCTCGGAAACTGATGTTGGCGCAGACAACTCTATTCGTTCTTTGCGGTTCCAAGCCTGCGAAATTTATTATAGAACCCTTTATCAACGTAGAAATTTACTGTTCATTTATTTGGACCGAATAAAATGTTATTATTCAAATTAACTGAATAATTTAATATTAAAGATGGAGGTGATATTTATTAAAAGTTTTGTACTTTTATATAGAATAATTTTAAAATTATGCTCAATAATTTTTATATGGAATTATTAACTTGTTAAGAAATATATGCTATTATTAAATTAAT